AATTTATACCATTTTTTTACAAATTTTCTCAAATTAAAACATTTTTAATTGAAATCTACACAATTACACATTAAAATTTAAGTATCGGTAATTTCGTGGTATGTGACTTAAAATTTCAATGATAAAATGAAAATAGAAGGAAAGTGAGAAAGTTTCTTGCAAATTATTAGCAATGCAATAATTGTCAAAGAGCAAGCAATAATTGCTAAAGAATAAATTATTGAGCTGGAATTTAGAATGGTAATTTTGTGGTGGCTGCTGAGGGAACATGCGTGTGTTTTGCAATTCAGTCAAATCATATTTTTATAAAATTTCAATATTTTTTATTGTTTTGGATTATTTTATTATTATTCTAATATATTAATATCAAAATTATATTTTAAAAAATATTATTTTAATATATTTAAAAAATACTTAATATTTTTTTTATTTTTTTAAATTATTAAATTATTTTTTTATTATTCTAATATACTAATATCAAAATTATTTAAAAAAATATTATTTTAAATATTTAAAAAAAACTTTCAAATATATAAAGCAGCGTAAAACGTTGAAAACAAGGATACCATGAAGTGGCATAAAGTTTCGTGCATGAAAGGGTAATAAAAAAGAAAATGAACATAGGAGCTTAGGAAATAATCGAAATTTTCAAGTAAAATAGTTAAAACGATGTTACATAGTATGGTGGTGTTTTTTTTTATTAAAGCCATTTTTATTTAGAAATATATTAAAATAATATATATTTTTTAAAAAAATTATTTTTGATATTAATATATTAAAAAAATAAAAAAAACATAAAAACTTTAATGAAAAGTGAGTTGCATCACAACCCAAATAACATCTAAAAATCATTTAAAAAATATAAAATATACTACTAGAATAAAGTTTGTTTATGCTATTTATGTTTAGCAAATAGGTGAATCAAGATAGAAAAATACTCAAATCATATTCATATTCAAGGAAATATCTCTATTTTCTTGTTATTTTTGAATTATTTTCTTGATTTTACTAGTCATTTATTTATTTATTTTAATATATTCATTTAGCTTTTATATAAATAGTTAATGTTTTATTTTTGAAAACAATTTTAAAAATAATTGATTTTTTTCTTACAATTTAAAATTATAATCTTAAATATTGAAAAACTCTAATTCTCTAACTTTCTTGCAAATACTTTGTAAAAAATTATGTATAGTACAAAACACCATGAAATTTTCTTTGTAAATTACTGGAAATTTTGAGTCAACCTTTATTCGGAAATCAAAAAAAGTCAGGGACCCACAACAGTCCCTGCATTAACAATTCATTTAAAAGAGTTGTACAATATAAAAAATTATATATTAAAATCTAGTATTATGTAATTCTAACACTATATTTTGAATAATTTTAAGGAAAAATTATAATGTAATTGTAATTAAGTTTTCAGACATCTTAGAAAGAGATTCTATATCTCTTTCTTGTTTTCTAATTTCACTCATCTTTTATATTTATTAAGAATATTTTTTTTATTTTTTTCTATGTTTTCTTTTTTATTTAGAATATTTTAATTTATTTTATTCTTTCACTAGATATATCAAAATAGAATCTGGTACCATTTAATCGACCTAATTCTTTTTTTCATAATAAAATAAATTTTCTTTTTTATTTAAATAATTAAAAATCCAATTGAAAAATCTAGCTAATGGTGAGTGGTTCATACTTTACATTACATGTGCCTTTTAATAAATTCAAATGATATACAGTGCATCCATTTAAATATGTTATGCTATGTTTAATGGTAAGGAATTTTTTTTGTTACATTGGTTTTTTTTTTTTGCTGGTTTTTGGATGTAGACTTGGTTCATATGACAAATTAAGATTTTAATATAAATATTTTTTAGGTTAATAAATATTTTTACTTGTTATTTTTTATTTAGTTTATAAATTTTATTTATTTCTATTCAATATTATTAAATTGTTATATTTTTTTCTACTTGAAAAGAATAATTTTTATTTTATTTTTTATTCAATATTATCAGGTTTTCTAGTTTTTATATTTAAAAAATAATAATTTTTCTATTTACTTGTTTTTATTTTTAAAATAATAGTTTTTCTATTCAGAGAAAGAATTCTCTCTTGCAAATTATTAGCAATGCAATAATTATCTTTAACCTAACACGGTTAACATCAAAGGAAGCATCAGCATTTATCTCATGAACTAGGATTTTTGTCGTCTTTGGTGGTGTCCACCACAATGTCCTTTATACAAATATATAATTCGTAGTAATGTTTGTTTTTATGGTTTAAAATGTTTGTTAAAGTGTTTTTTTAAAAAATATTGAATTAATTTGTTTATGTTTTTTTATAATTTAAATGTAATAAAATAAATATTAAAAAAAACATATTTTTAATTAAAAAGTAGAGCACAAATGAAACGTCATTAGTTAGCACTTTACAGGTAATTAGAGTTGAGATTTTTCAGTGAAAAACAAAAATTTTCTAAACTAATACAACTAAAAAATAATCCTTAAATTAACACAATTATATAATACACACAAATACTACCAAAATTCATTTTTCTTCCTGAAGAGTGCAAATCCTTTGCAAAGTTTCCACAAAAAAGAAAAAAATCAAACATAGATTTTGCTTCAACTCCATTATTATTTTCAAGGATTCGGTTTCCATGAAATTGGTGATTGTTTTCGTTTATAAAATGATTGACATTCTACGATAAAAGAGGACCTTCAAACACATAAGGAAGAGGAGGAGAGGGCAAGAGGCCACAATAACACAAAAGAGACTTTTCGAAATCTAAACAAATTTTGGCCACTTTATTAGATTGGAAAATTCTTATAAATATGAAGTGATCATGCTGATATGGAGTAGCAATGTTGTTGATACCTAAACTGAATCCGATTTATTTTTAATTAAATTAATGTAGCCTGGGCCTACTTGGAAGGATCACTGAGTTAAAACAATTCGGTGTTGCCTTGGTGAGTTTGTAGAGAAATAAGCATGTTCAGCTGGAGTGACTTTCAAAAACATGATATGAAAAAAGGAGAGTGAAAAGAAAACTCGGTGGCTGGGTTAAGTGAGTTCAAGGACGGGGTGACTCGACAGACCTCAAGTATCTGTACTTGATGAGTTGATGCCATGACAAAAGCAGAGGAAGAAGGAGAGAGAAGCTGTATTCACGCACCAATTATCTTGCTTCATGCACTCATTACTTCAATTATTTTAGTTTGCCAAGGGTGTTTTCCTTAATTGTTTTTGCTAATAATAATTAATTTTGACAACCGTAATTGTCTTTTTCTTAAGGATATCTCATCACAAAATAAAAAATGCTAAACATTAAGTTGGAAAAAAACAACTAAAAGAAGATCATTATGAAACAATGGATTATATCCTTAATGTGGAACATAATGGGAGATGGTCCTACAATCTCTTAACTATGATAAAAATTTATTTTGTAAGTGATTTAAATTTTAGTTATTTAAAAAAAAAGAGATGCCCACAATCTCTTATCCTCATATGCAAATCCAACGGTTGAGAGATTCACAAATAAAATAAATTTTTGCTAATAATAATTAATTTTGACAATCGTAATATGTTAGAAAGTTCCGGATTAGATTGCAAAGCCTCATATATAAAGCATTATGTCCCGGATCAGATTCTCATAATATGTTGTACCGTTAGATGAGTAGATTGTGCTGTGAGTTTTAAATGAGACCAATCTCGGTTTTTTTATGATTTTTTAAAATATTATAATTATAGTTACTTCTAGTTATAGATATTAGTATTTACTTATTCTAAAATAAAAATTCATTTATTTTGCAAAATTATTTAATTATTCGGTTATTAAATTGCATATAAATGGCGTAGAATGTCTCTGATTTAATAAGAGATATCATATTGGAAAACAAATACTAATATTTAATTTATAACATTACAAACAGTTTAATATTATAGTTTAGAAATTTATGTTATTGTCCCGAGATTTAATTGATTTTAATGTAATTTTTATAAGTATAATTGAATAAAAACTGGTTAGAACAAGAATATTATTTATTTTAGAAATTAAAAAACTTTATTTTTTTATTTTTTTTGCCAATACTTTGCAAGTAAGTCAATAACAATTTTTCAACTCAGGCATGCTGGGTTATCAAACCCACTCTCTTATACTTTTTTTTTTTTAAATTTATATTTAGATAAAAAATAAATTTAATAAAAAATTATTAAACTTGCTTGAGTTCTAATATTTTATTCTCTGAATAGTTTTTTACAAAATATGTTTGATTGAATTTTTTTTAATCATTTAGTTTATTTTAAATTTGTTCTCACAATGTATTTTTTTTATGAGATTGATTTTTTAAAATTTTATTTTTAAATGATTGTCATAGTGCGGTAAGGAAATGAAATTTGAGTTGATCAAATATATTGTTGTCTTATTTTTTTTTAAATGCAATACTAAAAGATTTTTTTAAACATTTTGTTTATTTTAAATTGGTATTCATGATATAAGTTTTTTAGCTATTTTAGGATTAAAATAATAAGAAGATGAAATGTATGTAAAAGATTACATCATAGATGAATATAAAAACATAAGGATTAAATACTATTTTCAAAGACTACAAAAAAAAATTAATTATTTTCTAAATTAAATTTTTATCATAGCTCTAAGTTTGAATCATGCAAGTTTGGTGTTTTAAGAATGTTAATGTTTTTTCTATATTTAATAATAATTCAAGATTTATTATTAATTGGTATTAATGTCATAAAACTAATGATAAACCGGTAAGAAAAAACAAAAGTTATATATACAAAAAAAAATGAGAGAGGTCAAAAGCAGTAAAAACCATGCAATAATGCATAGCAAGATCTTATAACCATAACTAACAAGATTTTACTTATTAGACTAGTTAAGGATGCTTTCAGAAATTTTCTATGTAGTTTTCATCAATTATCTTAAATTATAATATTAATCGATCAAAAACCAACTCAAATGCTATCCCAATTATCTCTTCCTAAAAAACCAATTTTTTCTAACTAAGATCAATGATTTTCATCTTTTGGAGAATACATAAAAAAAGTGAGGAAAAAAATGAAACAATATTAATCAAAAGTTATAACTTGAAAATATAAATTACATCATGAATAATAACAACTAGGCTGTCCAATTTCAAATAGGATGGAAAAGATTTCAAAGAACATCCAATGGAACTTTCAAGTTTAGAAAATGAACTTCAAATACATATCAACTTATCAGACAAAAATACCATATTGTTTTAGAGTAACTTCAAACATTTCTCCATAAAATGATCTTGTCCTCTCACACAAATTCAAGTATTTTTTCCCCTGAAAAACCATTAAATTCAATATAACTTTCAAGTTCGGAAAGGGAGTTAAATATGCATGATTGTATATTCATTTTGTTATTACAAACAAATCCCATTTCACTTTTAATTAATAAACTTACTTTATAATAATAAAAAAAGGTTAATATCACATCGTTTTTATTTTTGTTGAAGATAATATTTAATTTTTTTAGACTAAATAAGAAAAACAAAATAATTAAAGATAAAATTTAATCTCTTAAATTAAATAGAATAAAATAAAAATAACTAAAGGAAATATGTATTCTTACCAAAAAGCCTTAAATATTTAATATTTTTTTTATTAAATATAATATTTAATTTTTTATATTGAATAATAATAATGAAATAATTAAAGATAATATTTAATCTCATAAATTAAATAGAATATAATAAAAATAACTAAATGAAATACGTATTCTTACCATAAAACGTTAAAGCGAGGCCATGTCCTTGCAGCTTCGCAAATAAATAGTCACTCCATTGCTTAGGTGTAGATGCTGTAATTGAACCACAATGGGGATGATGAAGCAGATGATATGGTGGTGGTGAAGGCATCACTGCATCTCTTTTCACTTCTGACTCTTCAAATGAATCCGACTTCCCTGCGATCACATGGACCCCACATTCTTTAATGATGTGCAATTCGTCATAAGAAATGTATAGTTCCAAGTCGTCATCTCCACAGTAATCTTCCATTGCCATTTCACTTCTATTTATGTATCTTATCCATCCGTCAGGTGTTAGTGTTCGGTTATCTTCAAACAATTGAAGTCCGTTGCTTTTATTTCTTATAATAATAATAATGTCAGTGTTGAAGCCATAACGATCATCCTTCTCAACTGGTCGACGGGCAACCCAAACAACTAAGCCTTGGAAGACTGGAGGTATATGGAATGTCAATGGGCATCCTTCTCCCCTGTAGCTCATCCAATTTGGCATCTCACCAAAAATGGGGCAAATGATATACGGGCGACGACCGTTGCACGATGCCTGTATAAATATATTATCATTAAATCAAGAAATAAAAAATAAAAACAATCAGACTTTAAATATTTAATAAAAAATATTATTAAATATAATATTTAATTTTTTAGATTAAATAAGAAAAATAAAAAATATTATTAAAGATGATATTTATTTTTTAAATAAAATAATAATAATAATGATTATTGCCTGTATACATATTGATTTCAAGGAATGCTGAGATTTTAGATATTAATCAATGCATGTGCGAATTGTGTGTGTTTACTTTTTGTGCGAAAGAGAAACTACAAGAAATAGTACCTCAATAACGCTCTTCTGTAATTTATTCGGTGAATGATGTACCGTTCAAATTAATAGAACTGGTAACATTTATTCAAACTAATTTCTATTTTCTTGTTATTATCATTTAATTTGTTATTGCTATATATATATATCAGAAAAATAAATATTTTTTTATAATTTAAAGATGTACCTAAAACCATGATATGTTTAAAAATAATTAAAAATTTTCAATTTAATTATTTTTATATACCATCCCATCAATAATTGTGTATTCATGTTTCTTATCAATTTTATTTCAAACATAATTTATGCTAGAAAGTAAATCATTATTCAATATCGCTGTATGTGCTAATTGTGTGTTTACTTTTTGTGCAAGAGAGACTGAAAGAAATAGTACCTCAAGAACACTCTTCGGTAATTTAGTTGGTGAATGACAGCATCGTGAATGACTGCTTCGTGAACGACTGCATCGTGAACGACTGCATCGTGAATGACTGCATCCTTCAACTGTAACATCCCAGAAACTATTACTTAGATCTTCAATGCCCTGAATCTCTTCTAACGAATAACTTTCATCTAGTTCTATATATAGTTCTTTTTTTGGCTCGCTTGGTATTCTTACTCTTTTCAATGATTTGCAATGAGATGCAACCAAACACTCTAAACTTGAGGGAAGATCTAGGATTGATACAAGATATTCGATGGATCTAATTATTAAGGATAATATTTATTTTTTAAAATTAAATAAGAAACATTTTATCATAAAATCAAGAAACAAAAATAAAACCAATCAGACTCTAATTATTTAATAAAAAAATTATTAAAGATAATACTTAATCTCATAAATTAAATAGAATATAATAAAAATAACTAAATGAAATACGTATTCTTACCATAAAACGTTAAAGCGAGGCCATGTCCTTGCAGCTTCGCAAATAAATAGTCACTTCATTGCTTAGGTGTAGACGCTGTAAGTGAACCACAATGGGGATGAGGAAGCAGATGATATGGCGGTTGTGAAAGCATCATTGTAGCTTTTCCCACTTCTGACTCTTCAAATGAATCCGACTTCCCTGCGATCACATGGACCCCACATTCTTTAATGATGTGCAATTCGTCATAAGAAATGTATAGTTCCAAGTCGTCATCTCCACAGTAATCTTCCATTGCCATTTCACTTCTAAAGGCAGGCTAGAGAATTTGTTTCCTGATAGATCCAATACTTCTAGAGCAGACAAAACACTGAAATCAACACACTTAGCTGCGCGATCAGACAAACCACCATTAGAAAGCTCAAGACGTTTCACTGATATCCATTCAATGAAAGAAGTTGGCAGCCAACGTTTCAAATTCGAAACACCTGCTGAAATCAAAGAAGAACTTGGCGGAGCCGAACTGTATCCACGCAATGATAACCTTCTGACATGCTTTAATTGTCCAATTGAAGAGAGAAATTGCTCATTGTCAATCCCATCAGCTAGCAGGTCGGTTAAGGATTCCGTATCACCCATGCGTTCTGGCAATTTCTCAAGTTGTGAACACCCAGAAATATTCAGAGTTTCAAGAGACTTTAGATTGCCAATGCTTTGAGACTTTAGATTGCCAATGCCATCAGGGAGATTCTTCAGCCTCCAACATCCCTTCAGATTCAAGAAAACGAGGCTCGTCAAATTTTCAATTGATTGATGCACCTCAACTAAACTCGAGCAACCTTCCAGAATTAGTTTCTCCAGACTTGAACTGTGCAAGTCTGGTGTTTTAATAAGGTACTGAGAATGACTGAGATCAAGGATTTTTAGCTTGTCGAGAATCTGTCATAATAGAGAACAAAATAAAGAAAATTAATCATAGAAAGTCCTAACATGTAAATATAAATTACATACTGGAGAAATTTTGGGGATTGTAGCATGTTTCGCACCTTTTTTCCCTTCCATAGTTCTTTGAGGTTACTATACTGCATATCAAGAACAGCTAGATTGTCCAAGGTAAAATCAGATGGAAAATATTTCAAAGGACATCCATGCCAACAAATCCACATCAACTCTTTAGAAAGCAGTTCGAAGGATCCGGTGAGATGTACTCCATTGATTTGGAGTAAATTTAAGAATTTCATTTCTGCAAATGATCCTGTGCTAAGTGATTTAATTTCTGATGCTCTGACATCCAGTGCAAGACCCTCTACAACATCCGTACCCTAAAAAAAAACAATACAACTTTCATACAATTATTTGTAATAAGTGTGACTAGAAAATACGCATGACTATGCTTTCGTGTATGCATTGAGCTCTTACCTTCTGGTGGTCAAGTACATTCCATGCATCGTCTTTATTCCAAATTCTGGTCCTTTTTCCGAGAAGCAAGGGAGACGATTCACGGACGACTTCCCTTCCCATGTCCCGTAATAGATCATGCATGGTTACCGTCCTTCCACATAACTGCCTTTCATCTTTAATTATACACACATGAAATTGAATCAGAGACCTTTCACGGAGAGTTTCCAAAACAACTTCTGGATTGTAACAGCAACGGGCTCCTAGCACTTTTGCGACGTATTCTTTCTCTATACCAATAAAGAAGCATGCAATATCAAGGAATGCTCTTTGTAGTTCACCATCAAGTGCGTGATAACTTATTAGAAGCTTTCCTTGAATATCGTGGTTTGGAATTCTGCTCATGTTGTCAATTTTACTTTCCCATCTATCTTTGTTTTCCCTGTACAGAAGAGCTCCTATAACCTTAAGAGCTAAAGGAAGTCCTCCACAGAAATCAACGGCTTTCTTCGAAAGCTCAATATAATCTTCTGCTGGCTTGGTGTCCTTGAAAGCATGCCAGCTGAAAAGCTGAAGGGCCTCATCTGGTTCCAATTCTTCAATCTGATATGTTTGATCTGCTTCACGAAGTAAACTTGAATATCTTGTTGTAATAATTAGTCTACTTCTGGGACCAAACCAACTTCGATCTCCCATCAATGCATTTAGCTGGTCCAGATGAGCTACATCATCAGCAACCACGAGAACTCTTTTGCGACGAAGTCGCTCTTTGATCAGAACCTTTCCTCTATCAGCATAATCGAAGTTTGCAACATATTGATTTAAAATATCATGAAGAAGTTGCTTTTGTAAAGGAACAAGACCATTAACTTGTTTGGACCTTTCATTGACATCCGAAAGAAAACTGCTTCCCTCGAATTCATAGCATAGTTGATTAAATACAACTTGTGCTGTAGTCGTCTTTCCTATTCCTGGCATCCCATGTATGCCCACAATGCGTACATCATCTGTTGCAGTACTTAGAAAGTCAAAAATTTTGCGAGAAAGCCGGTCCATACCTACTAGGTGCTCAGGAACATATAAGTAATTGGGTTCTAATTTATTCAACACATCCTTGATAATCTCTTTGATAAATTTTGCTTCATGCCTGCTCATAGACCAAAGCAAGTCATCGATAGCAAGTCAATTAAGTATTTTATTGTTGCACATTGAAAAATGTAAAGTATATTGACTCCATAAATTTGGAAAAAAGGCATACCCATTTGCCATATCATTGAGATTCCATCCAGATACATTTCCAGCCTCCTCAAGAGCTTTTCTCCACTCCTTCACCAACTTCTCTTCAAAATGCTCTTCATGTTTAACAAATGCTTCTGCAAAACTGGCAGTCTGTTTTCTCACATCTGAAGGATCAATGTCATAGAATATAGGAAGAACAATCTGACCGGTTTTCCTATTTTTGCACTTAAGAATCTCTACAAGTTCATTGAGACACCATCTAGAAGAACCATATCCTTTTGAGAAGACAACTATGGATATCTTTGATTCTCGAATTGCCCTGAGGAGATGATGCGAGATTTCTTCTCCTCTTGGAAGTTCACCATCATCTCGAAAAGTGTGGATTCCTGCTTGGACCAAGGCGGTATATAGATGATCTGTAAATGTCTTGCGAGTGTCTCCTCTAAAACTCAAGAAGACATCATAGGCCCCTTCTGGTCTAGATCGAGAAGACTCTGGCTCTGTCTTGGTAGCTGCAGAAATTAAGGCACAATCAATTACCAATGGAACAATATAACAAAGAGTCAGCTATAAAATTCCAAAGCTATGATATTGAAATGAGGTTAATTGTATTCTTTGTATAGGAGAAAGAGAAAGGATGTGATTTCTATTCATTTGCAGGAGAAAACACCAGTAATTTCGAGTCAAAGAAAGGCAGAAATAGTAGTAGACTCAACCTATCCTATGATCAGACTAATCAAATAACATATTCTAATAGAATCAGCAGTTCCTACATGTATAGACTCACGCATCTGCCTTACCTGTGGAGACAAAACTGACAGGCTTCCCGAGTTCAGCCTTTCTTCTCTTTCGCGAGGATGAAGCATTGTCTTCATCTTTGGATTGCTTGCGTTTTTCTTTCAGCATTTCTAAATTAAATTGAATGGTATAGGATGAACTGGTCAATGATTATCTATCTGAACGTAAGGCTTTCTTGTTATCGTTATGAGCAAGAAGCAGCGAAGAGCAAGTTAAATATAACAAAGAGTTCGCTATGAAATGGCTGCAATGGGACAGAGAAGTTAGCTGCAGAGTTAGCTATTAAATACAAGAGTTAAATATATAGGATATGGAATACTGAAATTTCCAGTCAATGCAGCAATAGTAGAATTATAATTATATATTAAAACGTAGCATTATGTAATTATATATTAAAACCTAGCATTATGTAATTATGTAAAGCCTAGCATCCATCTTTTATATTTTTTACAAACATATTTTATTTCTTCCTGTGTTCTTTTTTTTTTTTAGAATATTATATTCTTCAAACGTCTTCCTAGAGATATCAGAAACTGCTACCATTTATTCAAACTAATTCCTATTTTCTTGTTACTATCATTTAATTTGTTGTTATTATATATATATATATATCAGTAAAAGAAATATTTTTTTATAATTTACATGATGTATCGTACACTTATTAAAATCATGATATGCTTAAAGGTAAATAAAAAATCTCATTTAATCATTTGGTATATACCATCCCATCATTAATTATATATCATGTCTTTTATCAATTTTATTTCAAACATAATTTATACTAGAAAATAAGCTATTATTCAATATCGATGATCAATAAAACAGATTTTGCTTCAGCACACCTTCTATCAATGGGCCATATGATTTTGCAAATTTGATGCAGTGGACTTGCAAACTAACGAGTTTTTTTAAAAAAATAAATAACTTTAAAAGATATAATTAAAAAACAAAATCATGTAGTTTCAAAATATACACTTCATTATTTAGTTTGGAAATTGTATTTATTTCTATTCAGTTTCATTAAACTTTTATAATGTTTTCTACTTGAAAAGAATAACTTTTTTATTTTATTTTTTATTCAATATTATCAGGAATTTCTAGTTTTTTTATTTAAAAAATATTAATTTTTAAATTTACTTATTGTTATTTTAAAAATAATATTTTTTCTATTCAGTGAAAGAATTCTCTCTTGCAAATTATTAGCAATGCAATCATTTTCTTTTCCTTGAGATCCTTTGCAAAGTTTCCACAACAACTGGGTCCACGCGTTAGCATTAATGAAGTCGAACAGGTTACTCCTAACAAAGATTTTAATTCCCCTCCGTTATTTTTTTAATTAATATGAGTATTTAAATATGCTATCTTATCTTAAAGTCTTCTGTCCTGTCGAGTTCTATGTATAGTCGAAATTACCTCTCTTTCATTCTCACTCTCATAGTGGATGAAAATCTATAATAGTGGAAGAGGTTTATTTTTTTTACTGTATACGAGTTCAAATCTTGACATGCATGATTGTTATTTTTATTATATTTTATATATTTATTGGATTTATAAAGTATTTAATGAGTCATAATAATTAGTCGTGGTGTACACAAGTTAGTCCGGATATCCCTACATAAATAAAAAAAATCTAATGAGACTGTTTGCTTTTGCTTTTTTTTCTTTTTATTTCTCTCTCTGTATATATTTTAAGTTTGGAAAACTTTATAACAATGAAACACTTCATACTTGGAATGCATTTTTGCGTTCCTGTGAACAATAAAATGAAACCAATTACTTTTTCATGAATTGGTTTTCATCGCGTGTTTTTTTTTAAGATTAATTGGTTTTAAATTGTTTTTTAAATTTTTTTATTCATTTTAACTATATTATTATCGGTTGTTTAATTTTTTGTTTTTTTAAGCTATTTTTTTATGATTTTTTTTAAATCTCAATTATATTATTTTCAGTTATTCATTTTTATCAAGTTTAATGATACTTCAAATAGTGTGATTCTCGTGCTAAAGTGGTCCAGCGAGGAAAACCAAACTGCTTGGCGGGCTGGAAAAAGAAGAAGCTATTTATAATATCATCATTCCATTTACTAGGGACTGGTCAGGAAAGGAGTTAGGTCTATGGTTGTAGGGCAGATAATTTTGTCTTTCCCTTTGGTTTCTTCTAAACCTCAAATTAAATATAATTAATTAATAATTTGAACAATGTTGAGCATGCTTAATTTAATATTATTTTATTTTAAAAAAAATGCCTTTAATAGTAAAACTATTTATCTTTTATCTAAAAACTAAGCTATTAAATAAATAAAAAGATGAATGGATGAAAAAAAATTATATTAGAAATGAATATAATAACATAAGGATTAAATACTATGTTTTAAAGATTTCAAGGACTAATTAATTTTTTTTATGAAATTGAGAATGTGTGTGTGTATATATATATATATAAAGGAACAAGAACAAAGAAATAGAAGCATTACCTACCTAGGTTGTACCTAAAGCCAAAGAATCAGAAGCCGAAACCGAAAATAGAAGTTAAAGAACAAGAAAATAAAAAAGATAATTTCTCTATTTAGTTGTTGTAAGGAGTATATGGATATTATTTATCTTCATATTCATATAATATTGTTTATTTTAGATCTAAATCCTTATAGATTTGTTTTTAAATTATAACTAAAAGGTTTCATATCAATAAAGATATTTGTTTATCTTTATACATTCTTCATCCTCTTCATTTTTAATAAATATAAGACTTTTATTACATACCTAATAGTTGTTTATATATATATAGATAGATAGATAGATAGATAGATAGACTGTAGTATGTAATAGTATTTGAAAATATATTATGATATTTTGATGATTTAGTAAAAGATTCCTATAAAAGATTATCTGCAGTGTTTAGGGTTTTCTCAAGCCATTTTTCAGATAAAGAATATTATTTTGTGTAATCATGTTTTTTATCAATTTTATTTCAAACATAATTTATGCTAAAAAATAAGTAATTATTCAATATTGATGACCTATAATAAATATCATATGGAAGATTAATAATAAATTTTATATAATTTGCACAGAATTTTCTTATTCTTGCTAATTAATACCAGAGCGAGCTTCCAAGAACTTAAAGCAGGATTTTGTATAATTTGCACAGGATTTTCTCTAATTGAACTTAATTCACTAAAAAAAGTTCATCATCTTTCTTGCAAATTATTAGCAATGCAATAATCATAATTATAAAAGGTAAAAGGTAACAGTACGTAGAGGGAAAAAAGCAAGGAAATTTCTCAAGCGTGGAGTACTGGTAAATATTGAGCTGGAACATTCGTGGTGGATGCAACAACTGGGTCCCACACGTTAACATTATTGAGGTCCTCCATTATTGTTCTGTCTTGGACCGTCCTTCTCTCTGTGATTTTTTTTAGATTAATGTGAATGTTCAGACAGTTTGTGTGTACTACGATTAATTTCACGGATCCTGAAGTTAATGATCATGTAAGTTTTCAGTGGCCATTATATAAACAACCAAGAATTCGAACCTGAGACTACAGAGGAAACAAACTCCTTGATCCTAAATCTTTACCACTTGGCTACTACCTAGATGATTGTGCTTTTACTTTACAAGTTATACAAAACAGCTGCACCGTATTTTTTTATTTTTAAATATTAAAAACATTATTCCACTACTATTCTACGAAACTTGACAAATATGTGAACGACATCTATAAACTGTTATATCATTCAATCCTGGCAAATAACTCCTCTAGCAACCCTGGTTAATTAATTTATTTACTTTGCTCGACAATCTTGAGTTTTTATTCAAGTAATCAACTAGTAAGGCGTTTTATTTCTTATAATTATTAATTAAAACAATTATTTATATGATCAACTGGATCAGGGATTTGAGAGATGAATATTATGTTCCAATATGAATATTTATTACATCCAAAATAAACATCTCTTACTTGGCCATGAGCTTTTGTATCAAACTGCTAAGCTTTTATTGAATTGAACTAATTAAGTGTAGCTAAAGACCGATGCCACGCTTGAGAAGGAAGAACACATCTTTTCATCTTCAATAATTTTTAGTTACTTTTTAGCCATTCATTTTTCTCTGGTACTTCTGCAACGTCTTCGCTTACAAGGAAGGATGCTGCATACAAGGAGATTTCTATTACCAAGGAATTTAATCAATTAAATTTAGGGCTGATGGCAGCTCTGTTTCTCTGTGGAGGCAATCCTGCTTTCTAGGGCTGTTGCTCTGTTTTTCTTGTGGTTTGTTGGCCTATTCTTCTTCGCCCTGTTCCTTTTTATATCTGCGTGCCCTTGCAGATGTGTATCTCCTTGCTCCCGCCTTAATTTGGCTTTTTTTAATACATTCCTCTAGTTATATATATATATATATAAAGAATTTAATCAATTAAAGCCAAACTCTGTGTTCATTCTGTGCAGCAGAAACTGAACATGTGATTCATTTATTTCTTCATCGCCATGATTTCTGGGAACTTTAGCAGTGTTTCATGAACTGTCTTGGATCAAGTTATTTTGCAATGGAGGGTACTGGTTAAAGGAAGGTTTCAGGGAAGAGCTTTAACTTTGTTATCCTATAGTATCTTGTGAGGTATTCGAAATGTCGAAAACAATTTGATTTTTTGTTTGTTAATTTCTTCGATCATCTCATTCACAACGTTTGTCTAATTTGTTGAACTAAATAAATTTTTTATATTCTCTTATGTGATTAATTATGATTTTTGTTTTAGATATTTTTACTTGTGAATTATTTTGAGATTCTAGAACTATCTCAAGAGCATGCAGCTCTCTATATGCTTATAATAAACTTTGTTTTGGAGGTGAGATGGGTGAACGGTCAGGATAACACATGGAGGTAAAAGCTTAGATGGAGAAGATCTTTTAGGGAATGGGAACAAGATGAAATAGAAGATAGTTGGGATAAAGAGAATGAGATAAAATAGAAGACACCGTGGGAGTTGTATATATTTGCTAGCTAATGATATATTAGATGAAGTGAATATCTTCTTATTTTATTTGGTTGATGATAGACAAAGACATAACTAAATATAAAAAGAAATTATTTTAACCTTGTATTACTATTAAACTTGCTATGTTTGAAATAAAAAGAAATTGCTATTTTTCTTTTAATTTATATTGAGCATTTATTAATTTATTTTAACTAGCTAAAAATGGTAATTTCTCCACTTAATAAAATCACGTTAAAAAAGATTCGTAATCATCTTAAAAAAATATATATATACTTAAATTGTGATGTATATGTATATGTAAGTA